ATATCTATTTAAATCTCCGCATGTTTAATGTATGTGCCTACCTTATACACACGTGCTGCACACACACACGCACGAAGAGAAGTTGAGTTTCTGTTTTAGGGTTCAGAAAACACCCTAACTGCCGCAGTTAGGGTTTTAAAGGTCAGTAGTGTTTCAATGTACGCCTTATATGAGGGGGATTCTTGTTCATTGACCGCGTGGCCTACTGGCAAAGAAGTAAGCCTCTTGGTGGGTGTGCAGGGTTTCAAGTCCTCGCAGTTAGGTTCTTTTCCTTCCCAGCCCAAACAACCAGCCCAGCCCACGCCCCAGCCGGGCCAGCCCAAAACAGCCATGACTGCCGCAGATAGGTTTTTTTCCTTCCAACTCAGCCCAGCCCACAGCCCGGCCCAGCCCAGCCCGCCAGCCCAAAGCAGCCCTAACTTCCCAACCGCTCTCCGCCCCAGCCCCAGCCCAACTGCTGCATTTTGCCTTCCCAACGCCAGCAGCCCACCCCCCGCCCCAGCCCAGCCCGCCAGGCCAGCCCCAGCCCATAAACCACACCCCATCCAGCCGCAGTTAGGCTTTTTTCCTTCCCAACCACCAGCCCATAGTCCAGAGCCCATCCAGCCCAAAACAGCCCAAACCGCGCAGTTAGGTTTTTTCCCCAGCTGCTCCAGTCAGGCTTTCCCCTTCCCAACCCAGCCAGCCCAGCCCAGCCTCTTCCGGTGAAAATAAATGCACCGCACAGGCACAGGAATTGAACCCCCCGCAGACAGTCTCTCAAAAGCAGAACTTCCACTAGGCTAGATGCTCAGTGCCCTACTGACATCACCGCATTTCTTTTGTTGTATCACGGCTTTGGAACAACTTAAAACCTAACTGCGGCAGTTAGAGCATTTTCCCTGCCGCCACTATAATCCACAAGTTCATGAATCTCTTAATCCCGTTGTAAATCCTGGCACGTCCCTCTCCTGCGTGATGTTGTTGTCGTGGTCGAGGAAGAAGGCATCCAGGATGTGTGCGTGTGTGGGTGGGTGGACGACTTCTTCGACGGGTTTAGGCGCTAACGTTTCCGTTTTTTTTTAAACGGGCAGCCCTGCCCGACCCCTCACAGAGGTAGTATAAAATATGTGTTTTATCTATTTACTTGTCCGCAAATTTAAAAACAATCACCGTACATCTAAGCCGAAATGCCTCAAGGAAGGTCAAGACTTGACATTGAAGGCCGCAGCAACGATGGCCGCGGCCCTTGTGGCAGCCAGCGTCGCAGCTCCGGGACCAGCCCAGGCCCGTCAGAAGCAGAAGTCTTGTGTGGTCCCATTAGTTTTTCATTGCAGGCATAACACACAGGAGAATGACATGTACGTAGTTCCCGGTTTGCGAACGCCTGGTTTGCTTCAGTTCTTTGGTGGTATTCTCGCATCCTTCAGAGCCGAAGCTGGTGAACGAGCCTACTCTCCTTCATTCTCAGACATCCACTTGGAACGATGCCGGATCCGGCCAGATTTAAGAGCATCGGAGGCGGAAAGCCCGAAGCTGTCCTTCTTCGGGCTCGGAGGTTCGGCAGGGGTCATGGAAGGAAGGGTCTTCGGCATGTTCCCAGGGTTGTCCTTTCTGCTGTTCTACTTCTATCGACAATGTCATGGAGTGCAACGTTGACACTGAAGGCAAACATGTTCTTGGTCCTGCAGTATTGGATTCGTAGGTGTTGCAGGGCTTGTGGAGCTGGGTATAGGAGTCTCTAGGCTTAGGCAGGACGCGAGATGCTGTTGTTCTCGTATTGTCTGGGCGGACTTTGGTAACTTTCGCAGTTCGAGAATGTCCTGCAGGATGACAGGAATCGCAGAGAAACTTGTGCCAGCAAGAGCTCTTCTTTCGACGTTGTCCTGTGATTGCTCTTGCCAGCGAAAGTCTGCATTGGGGGCTCTTCATTCAGGGCCTTCTCTCAAAGCTTCATGTAGACACTGCTCCATATCTTCATTTGGCCATCTACCCACCACTGTCATGCTTGGGTGGTCAGCTTCACAGTCATTGACATTCCAGCACGCCTCGGACCCGAGCTCGTAAACAGTCCTAAGATGTCCTACATCTCGCACGTAATGCCTGCATGCAATCGCATGGTTTATCCTGCGCAGGTCTTGACATGAACGTATCCAACGTGTGTTCTTGAGCACAAACAACAAAGGCCTTCCACAAGTCGCACGAACCCGACTGTCAGGCGGCGTCTCCGATGTCTACAACCAGAACGACAACCCGATCAACCCGTACTCGCAGTTCAGTGACTTTGCTCTTTCCATGATTTCTATGTAGGTATGTAGTTAGCTGGTCGCTGAGCAAGAAGAGCAACCTGCAGAGTTTCTTGAGTTGAGCAACCGCGGGAAACACCGAAAGTCTGAAGGGCTTCCTTCCGAATTGTGAAAGGACCATGCCAAGAAGATGCTGGGATGTCCCGGGCTTTGCTACAGGGATGAACCGTCCCCGGGCAAAGGCGAGGTCGGAGACGAGTCCGTCTACAAGGCCCGCACCGACCAGGAGGCACCAGCAAACCAGGGGCGCTTCTGGGACCCGGGGGCTCCTCTTCGGAGTGTTGGGTCAAAGCCCCCCTGCGAGACCTTTTGACTCCGCGAGTGCCAACTTGAGACTTGAAAATCACCGAAGTTTTCTCGGAGGTGGCGCGCAGGAAGAAGGCGCTCGCGAACTCCTTCGAGCGCTTCGACAAGACCGCCGTGCCTTAGCGCTGCCTTGGGGCTCTATCGAGTAAACGACGTCACTATAAAGCAAGTCTTCTGTTGCACGTTTTGATATCTGTGTGCGGTGGAATCGCAGCCCCAGCTTGGGTTGGTGACATTCCATGACCCTGCCCACTTTTCTCCGCGCGTGCAACCACGGAATGTTTCGACAGGTATGCCGAATTGAAAGGTTTTGCCGCTGTGCCGTTAATACTGCGCAATGAACTTGGTCATGTCATGACCTCCTGCTTTTACCGGTTACCATGCTGCTACTCATTTAGTAGTAGTGTTTGTCGCGAAGCCATCGAACTTCCAAAATGAGGGTCTCGAAGCTTTAGATAAGAGGAATGTTGGACCCTGGGCGAAGCATACCCCGAAGCAGCATTCTATGTCGTCAGCTTGCAGCTTGAGAGAGACGGGCGGTTCCCATGCGTTGTTGTCTATGCTTCGGGATGGATTGTAGTGGTAGTGGTAGCAGTGGTAGTAGCAGTGGTAGCAGTAGTCGTAGTCGTAGTAGTAGTAGTAGTAGTAGTCGTCGTCGTCGTCCTCGTCGTCGTCGTCGTCGTCGTAGTAGTAGTAGTAGTAAGTAGGAACAAGTAAGTAGGAACAAGTAGTAAGTGGTAGCAGCAGAAGCAGTAGAAACTACTGCTGCTACTGCTACAGCTACAGCTACAGCTACAGCTACAGCTACAGCTACAGCTACAGCTACAGCTACAGCTACAGCTAAGCAGCTACAGCTAAGCAGCTACAGCTACAGCTACAGCTACAGCTACTACTGCTCCT